GGTGACGCCCGGTGGCAGAACTAGGAATCACAGGGCCACGTAGCAAAATTTTGTATGCCCCTCAGGTAGCCCCTTGCAGAGCCCACCTGAGTGTGACCCAGCAGAGCCCACCACAGACTCTCTATGGTGGGCTCTGCAGGGTCTCAGGTGGGCTGGTCAATCCTCTTACCTGCCAGCCCAGATGCGCTGTCAGCCTTCTCCTCCACCGGGCCCCGCCTCCTCTTCGGTCACCAATGGGCCAATTCTCCTACCACGCTGCTGCCGCCGGCCCCCGGCCTCCCTGTGAGCTGCTGGCTGTCACTCAACAGTGGCTGTGAGGGGGAACGCGCCGCTGCACAGATCACACAGGTTGTCAGTGATCTTAACAGCGGTGCATTCCTCCTCACAGACGCCAGTGACAGCCAGCAGCCTGAAATGCCATAGCGACCCAGTCGGCCTGCACGGCATCAGGTGGACCCCTTTGTTCCTCGTCCTGGCCGGGCCCCCCTGTGCCCCATAGCGGCCGTCTGGGTCCTTATGGCGATAGTTCCGGCACCGGTGAGGCCCCTTCAGTCCATGACACCCTGCACTCACAGGATGTCCTCAGTCTCCTGGGTTGCTATGGCGATAGTTCCGCCACCGGTGAGGCCCCTTCAGTAGGTGGGTCCATGACACCCTGCACTCACAGTATGTCCTCAGTCTCCTCGGTTGCTATGGCGATAGTTCCGCCACCGGTGAGGCCCCTTCAGTAGGTGGGTCCATGACGCCCTGCACTCACAGTATGTCCTCAGTCTCCTGGGTTGCTATGGCGATAGTTCCGCCACCGGTGAGGCCCCTTCAGTAGGTGGGTCCATGACGCCCTGCACTCACAGTATGTACTCAGTCTCCCGGGTTGAATGACACCGAGCTGGTTGAATAGATAATCCGGCTCTGTTCCTGAGGCTGTCAAAACATCCCGAGACCATGGAAATGTGTGAATCAATACAAAACAGATTCACCGAAGATGTTTTTCATGCTCACATGCAGAGCAGATGACACATAAAGAGAGTTCATGAAAGAAAACTCGGAGCAGAAGACACAAACCAGACAAGAAGGAGGCTGTGTATGTGCAGGCAGAGAGCCAGCGCTCCGCAGAGCAGCCAGCCGGGAACTCACAGTCCAGTGCGATCCTCCATCGGCCCCGTACAGTGCCGAGTACATTTCATGTCATTCATAGTTCTAGCCGCCTTTCACTCACCTCATAGTTCTAGCCGACCTGTGACAATGAGACTGTCACAGGTCGGCTCAGTAGATCGGGAGGTGAGCGAACACATACCGGCGCTCGCTCACCTCTCGATCCTGTCACAGCTCTCTGCCGTGACAGGGGAGGGGCTGGATTCCCCCTCCCCGCTCCGATCCTCCAGCGCTGACTGGCGGAACGGACGGGGGAGGGTACAGCTGGCTCTGCCTCTAGATAGGCAGAGACAGCTGTCACTCACGCAGCTGGGCGGATCCAGACATAATTGTCGGGATCCGCTCCAGGTGCGGCGTCTCAGTATACCGCGAGCTGCAGCTCCCTATATACTGAGCTTAGGGTGACGGGAGGACGCTAGTTTGTGTCCTCCTGTTACCCTTAGGAGAACTATGGGGAAAAACACTGACCCCCATAGTTCTCCTTTAAAGGGACACGAATTATATACAGACAACAGCAAAAAATAACTGACACACAGGGGCGTAACTAGAAATCACAGGGCCCCATAGCAAAATTGTGTATGGGGCCCTGTGATTTCTAGTTACGCCCCCTTGCAGAGCCCACCTGAGACCCCACACAGCCCTCATCCCACCGGGTGAACGTCCCCTCCTCTCTGCCGGCGTCCATCACCGAGATGGCCAAAGGCAGGTATCAATAAGATGACCGTGCATGCGCGATGACATCACCAACAGGGTGACACCCGGCCTCGGGACGCCCCTGCTTGTGTCATCACTTTCTTACACCATGTACAGACTTGAGGATGTTGAGGAACATTCCATCTGTGCAGCGGAGGAGACGACACGCTTCAGTGACCGGACAAGCAGGGAGGTGATTTGGTAGTTCAGCTGAGTGAACCTTTTTTTAGCACCTAGACAAAAATGAGCAGTTAACCCTCGCCGTGCGGGGAGGGGGGGTAGCCCCACTACGAGGGTTAATAAAATTGTTCCCCGGAATTATTTTGTAAAATAGCGTAATGCTCTCTCTATACGCTATAAACCCACATTGTTCTCGCCCTTTATCCCGATCCATCCCGCTCACATCATTTCCCTCGTATATATATCTACAACTGTCTACATTGTGCTTTGGCTCCCCGTCCCGGCAATTCCTAAATTCAGCAAGTCAATCGCTCCCATTGCAGTGTAGAAGGGGGCCGTGTCATTGGTCTGTACTCTGCTGCCACCTAGTGGATATACTTCACACTGCACACAAGCCATGGATTCCATACACTGCACTCATGATGGCCAATGAGCCTGGAACAGCTGTATGCAGAATGCCAATGAAAGGCTCGGTGATATCCGCGCTGTATACCAGCAGTTCTGGTTCTGGTTTTGCTTGTCCGGACATAAAAGAATGATTTGCATGACTCCGCCCACTGTCCTGAAATGAGGAATAATCCTCTTATTTTGGGGATATGGGATGGAGTGAGACATGTGACCACCTTCTGTCCTCTGCAATATACAATCAACGATCACAGCTCCGCCTCCTCTCTTTATGTTTCGACAAATCCCCTTTTATGTTTTTTTAAAAAGCACCCGGTCACAATTTTTTGGGGTTATTTTAGGTTCATTTTTGTCAATTTTCTCTGCAGTTACCGGATAGACTTCAGATTTAGGCCTCATTCACATGGGAATCAGCCGGCGCGTACAGCTCCGTGCTGCGTGCAGGGCCGCTCCCCCGAGCTGCCCTGTCACCCCCTCTGAAAAGGTGGTGTCACCCCCCTCTGAAAAGTCGGGCGCTCGGTCATGGGCCGAACGCCCGACAGTATCAGGAGAGAGGAGGGGACCCGGCGACATACCTTATCCCGCCGGGTGACTGTCCCCTCCTCTCTCTGCCGGCGTCCATCACGCAGTGACGTCTCGGCGGGGTGACACTTGGTTACCGCTCCAGGTGTCACCCAGCCTCAAGACGCCCCTGGTGGTAAGCAAACTGAACGTACCCCCCCCGGGGTTTACTGCTACATTGTTTGGTGAGATACTCTCCGAGGTGCATCTACTTTCTGGGGTGCTGAAACTTTCCTGAGATTGCTCAGGTGGGGATAATGAAGGCTGACCCTCCCATTCAGAGATTGTTATTGAAGGGGATCGAAGGCAACTGGCTTTGCGCACTTGTCTCCACTTTGTGGAAATTGTTTATGTCAGTATATCCCAGGGTTGGTGTACCTGGAACTCCCGTCGTGGTAACACTACAACTCCCATCATGCTGTGGCTTTGGGAATCATGCCTGAGGCTGTCAGAGTCTTGCAATGCCTCATGGGATTTGGAGTTCCACAAGAGCTGGCGCGCCGAGGTTGCCCACCCCCCGACACATACTGAAATTCCACAGGAATTGTGAGTAATCTGCACACTCGGCCCGCTTACGTTACCAGGCAACCGATGACGGTACACAGAGATGGATGGCGGGCGTTCCCCCGGACAGCTATGAGAATGTCCAGCCTGCCAGTAATCTATAGAAAGGCATTCCTGTGACACCAAACATCATCCCGGCTCTCCCCAGCGTCACGTGTTTACTGTATAGGAGAACATCGCCCGTCGTGTGACTGTGGAGACGGCACCTGCACTGACGGCTGCACACAACAAACACGGATTATTAACGTGGGGCCCCAACCTGGGACGCACAGCGCCAGGAAAAGAACATGATGTCTGGATAGACGCACGCAGAACGACGTTTTTCCTGGATGTGAGCTGCGCTAGTTCAGAATTCGAAGCGTTACAACGTATTTAATGACATCATATATGAAGATAAATGGCGTCTTTGTTCTGCGTTCCCTTTTCAAGACTTCGGGCAGGGGGCGTATCGACAACAGATTGTGCCCCTGGCGTCCCGCCCAACTCCTGGCAACCAGTGACATCACCAGTTGCCAGGAGCTGGCAGGACGCCGGCCAGAGCTTCCCAGGTTGCCAAGATCTCAGCAGGGAGATGTGTAAGGGCCATGTACATCTCTTGGCAACCTGGGATGCACGGGCCGGTGTCCCGCCCCCCGACACATTTCCCCGCCCACTCTGGTTGCTAACAGCTGGGACGAGATGAGCATGGTCCTTACACATCTCCCCCACCCGGCTCTTAGCAACCTGGGATGCTCTGACTAGTATCCTGCCCAGCTCCTAGCAACCAGTGATGTCACTGGTTGCCAGGAGCTGGGTGAGACCCTGGACAGAGCTTCCCAGGTTGCTAAGAGCTGTGCAGGGAGATGTGTAATGGCCATGCACATCTCCCTGCATGGTTCCTAGCAACCTGGGATTCACAAGCCGCTCTCCCGCCCCCATACATCTCCCTGGCCACTCTTGTTGCTAACAGCCGGTTGAGATGTGCATGGCCCTTACACATCTCCCCCACCCAGCTCTTAGCAACCTGGGATGCTCTGGCCAGCCTCCTGCTTAGCTCCTGGCAACAAGCCCCCTACGTGATAGCACACATACAGCGGCAGGTCCTCTTTATGGAGACATCAGGGGTCTGGTGAGACACCTAATGCCACCTATGGATCGCAAAGCAAATATTGTGCTTCCAGCTTCGTCTTTGGCAACAGCAGCCAGAAAATGACTGTAACTTGTTTCTTTACCCCTGTCAAAAACAAGCACGTGACCCTTGCAGTTTAAGGGGTTAATAAAAATTGAATCTGCGTTTTGTTTTAATGATAGCCAAAACAAAAAGACGAATTTGACCTTTTAAAAAAAAAAAACAATTCCCATGAAATTAACCGCCAGTGGTTCTGTGTATCCCTGTCCCAGATCGCCTTGAATTTATGAAGGGATCAGCAAAAGAATACCTTAAAATTGTTGCAAACATTTTTTGCCAACTGAGCAGCCCGCAGTACCGCCTGGCCGCCAGCAGAGGGCGCGCCGAAGCCCAAGTACGCGTCACGTGACTAGGACGTCCACGTGACTGAGGGAACCCACGGTCATGGCGCGGCCGCGGCTTCTCTCCCTCCTGAGCCGACCCTGGGTCCGCCGGCTGAGCGGCAGCTGCTGTCCGCTGAGGGAGAACCGGGGGCTACTGCGTGTCCGAGGCCCGAACACTCCGGCCTTCCTGCAGGGGCTAATCACCAACGACGCGGAGCGGTTGGGAGAGGGCGCCGTGTACGCTCACCTGCTCAACGTGCAGGGGCGGAGCTTGTTCGACGTCATCCTGTACAGGTAACTCAGACTGTGGGCGCGCTGGGTTGGGCGGCCATCTTTACTCCTGGCGGGGCTGCCAGCCAAGCTGCAAAAAGTGTAGAAGTGCAAATAGTGTTGCTGGGGTGACTGTGCTGTGTGTATGGTTGCCACCTGTCCAGGATTCACCTGGACAGTCCGGGTTTTTTAGTCTGGGTGCTGTTTCTGTGCTGTTTCAGGCCAGGTACAGGATTCAAAACCCAGACTGTCCAGGTGAATCCGGGACAGGTGGCAACCCTATGTGTAGGACACCTGCTCCTCTGCCACACACTGAGGTTTCTCATGAGAAGACACTTCCGCGCAGTGCAGGGTCGTCTTCATGACTGATCAGGATCCTTATCATTCACAGGATCTTGCCAGAAGGATCGTGATATCACTCTCACCTAGGAACCCGGGGATTAGGTGGGCCTTACTTTTCTGTCCCCCACCATAGGCGCTTACACAAATGATCAATAGCCTTCAGCCTTCTAAATGAAATGCTTTTAATGTTATGCAGCAGATGTTTCAACTACTCCACTAAAACACATCTTATCATATGGCTTCTTAACAGTTTGTTTACATGCCAAATCATAGGCCGCATGCCGCATTTGGGGCTGGTGGTTGTGCTTGACAAATGCAACCATTGCAGTAACGGGGACCGTGCCGCAGCCACGTGCAGCATGGCATTACAATGCAAAAATGCCTAGCGGGCTAAGGAAAAAAATGCTCGCTTTTGGCGCGAGTTCATAGCACGTGGCAAGTGTGAATGGGGGGCCTGAGCTGAACAGTGTATGTGCCAGCCATGTGCCTAGGTATGCAGATCATCTGCTGGGACCGTCATTTCCCACTTTGACACCTGATCACAGGTTGGAAATGATGATGTAATTACATTGTATACATTTAGTAGATACTTTGTATTAAAAACCGCTGAAAAGAAGTCACATTTCTATCGTATAAGAGCTGTAAGAGGACGCGGATGTCATGGACCCGGAAAGGGGCTGACGCGGCACTTCTACTCCGTATAGATCTCCAGATACACAGTGTGAGCAGAAGAGGAACCAACCCGGAATTTATCTGACATGAGCAGCGGCGCTCTGTGTTGGTTAGATAAAGTATGTGCACCCCTCCTCCCACCGCCAGCTCCGTGTACTGTACTTATCGGGAACTACACAGCCTTATGGAGGACACAAAGTCCTTCTCTGCAGCATGCTTGTTCACACTTGTAATTCAGTTGAGCATTCCTGCATGCCGTGTGTGAGTCTATCCTGTTGTAACCTAAAGCATCCAATCACTTCACTATATGCAGGCCTGACTAAGAGTAAAAGCTGATGCCATCACAAGCGCCGTTCACTAAACTCCGTCCTTCCCTTCAGTCTTCTATCTGACCTCCGTCCTTCCCTTCAGTCTTGTATCTGACCTCCGTCCTTCCCTTCAGTCTTGTATCTGACCTCCGTACTTCCCTTCAGTCTTGTATCTGACCTCCGTCCTTCCCTTCAGTCTTGTATCTGACCTCCGTCCTTCCCTTCAGTCTTGTATCTGACCTCCATCCTTCCCTTCAGTCTTGTATCTGACCTCCGTCCTTCCCTTCAGTCTTGTATCTGACCTCCGTCCTTCCCTTTAGTCATCTATCTGACCTCCGTCCTCCCCTTCAACCTTATATGTGACCTCCCTCCTCCCCTTCAGTCTTGTATCTGACCTCCGTCCTCCCCTTCAGTCTTGTATCTGACCTCCGTCCTCCCCTTCAGTCATGTGGCTTCCTCTGATATCACTGCACACTGGGAGCTTCTCACAATGTGCATTGGAAGCTGCAGCAAGTCAAACCCAACTCATTTCCTGGCTGGAGGACGTCCAGCATCTTCTAGGCCTTTCCTCTGCAGCCTGACTGTCCCTGGCCCGGCCCCTTTCATTCATTGGATTTCAGTTGTTTCCATCATGGGGGTTCTACATGAGATGTGGGCGCTACCTGGGGCCGTCTGCATGCAAATACTAGGAATGCCCATTTCTTCAGACTGACACCTATCCATCCAGAACTCCTTCCAAGAGCCAGTCCACTGCTTGGATCAGGGCTGAGGGCTGTTGAGAGAAGTACTGAGGCTATGAATAGCACCCTGCCGGCCCCTACCACCAGCCATGATTGCAGTCTAATGTTAGGTGTATAGTGAAAACATAAAGGTTGTATTGCAAACTTCCATTTAACAAGTGGCTCCGGAGCTGGTGTCAGATGGAAGGATTTGGTTTCCTGGAGAACTGGGCTGACTTTGCAGTCGGCTACTGGCTCTACAGCCGAGACGGGCTGCATCTTAATGGGGGAGGTGCAGCATTCCTGGGGGGAAAAATGGTAGAAAGACTGGAGGAGCTTTTAAACTAGATAATGGGGGGGAGGGAATAAAAATACTAAATTTAAGTTATAAAAACCCTACAATAAATTCAAATAATAAAGAGGAAATTATTAAAGGGGTAATTAGTGGGCTCACTCCAGTCA